TAGTCAACCGTTGTACTTCTTTGAAGTTTCTTGGAGATGGCATGTTCAGAAAGGCATTAATTTGATTTGGATTGGCTTCAATCCCTCTTTCTGTCACGATATAGCCAAGAAATTCTCCGGATGGGACTCCAAACGTGCACTTCGCCGGGTTCAGCTTCATTTGATATTTATTGAGAATATCAAAACATTCCTCCAAATGTTTGACATGATCTTCTTTCTTCAATGATTTAACCAACATATCATCTATGTAGACTTCCATAGTCTTCCCGAGGTGATTGTGAAACATTTTGTTCACCAACCGTTGGTAAGTCGCTCCTGCATTTTTCAAACCAAAAGGCATTACCTTGTAACAGTAGATACCTCTATCTGTGATAAATGACGTCTTTTCTTGATCGTCGGGGTCCATCATTATCTGATTATAACCCGAGAAGGCGTCCATAAATGTTAACAGCTCATTTCCAGCGGTGGACTCTACAAGTCGATCTATATGCGGGAGCGGGAAACTATCCTTGGGACATGCTTTATTTAGGTCTGTAAAGTCGATGCAAACCCTATCTTTCCCATTCTTTTTCTTGACAACGACAGTGTTTGCTACCCACTCTGGATATTGCACTTCTCTTATGGACCCTATCTTCAAGAGTTTATCCACTTCGTCGTTTACTATTTTTGCCCGCTCCACTCCAAGCTTTCTTCTTTTTTGTTTCACCGGTTTGAAGCTTGGATCTACGTTTAGTTCATGACAAATTATACTCGGATTTATGCCCGGCATGTCCGCTGCTGACCATGCAAACGACGCTTTGTTTTTCTTTAAGAGTTCAATCAAAGCTTCTTTTATTTGGCCAGTCAAAGTTGCTCCAATTCTAATTTTCCGGTCCGGCTTGTCTTCTTCCATTGCCACTTCGACTACTACATCCTCTTTCTTCTGCCCACTAGGAAATTTTGTTTTTAGTCCTTCTTTTGCGGGCTTCGTTAATTGCTATTGAATCTTCATACGGTGGCTAGCTAAGTAGCATGTTCGCGAAGCTTCTTGATCTCCCCGAATTGTCTCCACCCCATTTGATGTTGGAAATTTGATACATTGATGGTATGTAGAGGGGACTGCTTTCATTCGATAAATCCAGGGAGTCCCAAGGATGATGTTGTAAGCTGCGGGCTTATCGAAGACGACGAAGTCCACAATTTTCGATACTTTTTTGGCAAGGACCGGTAGCTTGATTGTCCCGAGAGACATGGCTGATTCGCTAGTGAATGCAACTAATGGAGACAGAGGTCCTACTATGTCTCCTCGGCTGATTCCCATTTTTTCTAGAGTACTTAAAAAGATCAAGTCGACCGAACTGCCTGTATCTATAAGGATCCTTGATACTTCGAAGTTTGCGACGTCAAGAGTAATGACTAGAGCATCGTCATGCGGTCTTTCGAGATGCCGCGTTTCTTCTTCGTTAAATGATATTGAAGCACCTTGAAAATCAATTTCTTCGCTCAAGCTTGCTTTGAGTAAGACATTTCGTCTATGTTTTTTGATGGAACTTATTGAATTTCCACAAAATCTGGAACCTCCTAGAATCACATTGATCTTCCCCTTCAAACTTCTTGGTTCTTCCTCGTTGGATAACTTTGGTCTTTTGGAATCTTGATCTTTGGAGTTTTCCTTTGCTTCGTGGTATTCCTTCACAAAATCTTTTATATCGAATTTAGAAAGATCACCGCTAGCCCAAAGCTCTGCGAGGTGCTTTTTAAGAACGCTGCAATCCTTGGTTAAATGTCCGGTTACTTTATGAATGTCGCAATATAGACTTTCATCACGGACCCAAGTGTTTGATCTTCCTTTTCCTTGGAATTGCTTCCCGACGGAATTGTTGAAGGGTTGCGACCCAAACTTCCTTGGTCCTTTGCTCTCTTTAGGCTCGAACTTCTTGGTAGGGACGGTGATTGCCGGCTTTTCTTGTTTATTTCGTTTGGCAAAACTTTCTTTTTCGTCTTCTACCTCCATCGAATTGTTTGCGCGGAAGAGTGCATCCTGAATTGTGTCTGGTTTATGAAGTATTAAGTCTTCTTTAAACCTTGAATCATGTCGCAATCCTTTTCGTAGGGCGGATAAAGCCGATTGCTGGGAGATTCTTGGGAGTTTTGACAGCACTCCTTTGAATTTGGTGATGAAAACTCGAAGTGACTCATTAGATCCTTGCGTTAAGTTCCAAAGATCGGCATCTGAGACGCTTTTATCCATAAGGATAGAGTATTGCTTTAAGAATACGGCTGATAGTTTGTCGAAATTGCTGATCGAACCCGGCTCTAATTGGGTGAACCACATTAGAGCTTGGCCACATAGATTTTCCGAAAACAGCTTGCAATAGCCTGCGTCCTCATCAGCTTCATCCAACTCGACTCTTCCTGCGGCGATCAGAAAGGCTGCAAGATAGCTTTTTGGATCCTCCAATCCGCTGTAAGGATCCAACTTGAGCTTCCGGGAATCTTTGATCCTCAAACTTGCAATTCGCGGGATAAAAGGGGTTCGCCTAGCTTCTTCAATGACTCGATTGATGTCTGGCTCCGAACTTGTAGCCTGATGAAATTTTGATTTCATTTCTTTTAATTCCTGGCTAACTTTCCTCATGGTCTCGAACTGGTCGAGGTTCTCCTGCTCGTACTGAGCTGCAAGTTGTTCTTCATCCCCGAGCTGCGTCTCTTCTTCCGACGTCTGAGCTACATTATTAGTAGCACCGGGAGTTGTTTGTCCGCTGGTTTCATTTCGTGCAGCGGAACTTGGCGAGTTGAATATCCCTCTTCGGGTTCCCACCGGGTTTCCTGCACTTAAAGAGCGAACACGAGTTTGTATATTATTGACATTTTGACTAAGAGATACCTGGGATGTTTGCAACGTATCAACGGCCTTCTCCACATCCGAGAACTTTTGTGATATATCCGACATGGTTTGCTGCATAGCTTTGAGGGTTTCGGCCAATGATGTTTCAACGGCGTCTCCTCCGGACATTGTCGCTTATCTCGGAAATGCAGAAAAGAAGAAATCTGACCACTCAAGAATCCTGAGTTCCCCACAGGCGGCGCCAAAATGTGGATGTCGGATTCACACACTCAAGTATTTTTGTTAAGTGGGAAAGATTATCCTTGAGGGACAAAAATGAGTATATAAAAACTTGTAAATTGATACAATAATTGCTATATTATTTCTCTCTCGAGAGGAAGATCCCCCTTACATGGCCATCGGCCTCTATATTTATACACCGATAAACGACATTAAAATGAGTAATTAAGCACAATTATTTCTTCTTAAATGTGTCCGTTTTGATTCTTCGGCTTTAATGCTCAACGTTTGAATTTGAGTTGACTCTGCTCTTCATGGGCCTCGCCTCTTTCGGCCCAAGTGTCCGTGAACCGACTTACCCGTGTCTTCTACACCGAACTCGTGTCACAGTGTAGTCACTTCGGATTCTCGAAATGGTGACAACCACTTCGACCATCCCTTCGGCTCACGGGTCCAATGGGCTTCATCCTTTATGGACCATTATCTTGATCACGTGGCAATCTTTGGTTGGTCTCGTACTTCTGGTGCGGGATCCGACACCAACAGCTATTACAAGTCATATAATCGATCATATTCTACCCGATTCATCACCACCCATCTTCCCGGCCTTGAGTCTCTCACTCCTAAGCCAAGTCTTTCCCCAATTACCTTCCTTTCCTGAAAGCCAAAGAGGCATAAATATCTGTTTACTTATTATATATGCAACTCCATGCAATGCTCTCTAAGACTTTTAACCACTCAGAATGTATAACAGAGCGGAGAGTGGAAGTATGCGCACCAGTTCGGCCGATTCACGATAGATCTTAACAGATCCGCCGATCCTCCGCCGAGCCACATCCCCATTTCAACCAATAAATCCGTCATCCGAACCAAATTTATGCAGAATATGAATGATCCCCCGATACTATAATGTCACCCTAATCGTTCTGGACTTTCTTCTAATTCATCGGAACAACCCCTAGGCTAGATCGTACATATCATATCTCCTTAGGTTTGGACACAAGGTCTAGAACCGCTCACCTTCGATCACACCGATCGCAACTCTCTCTTAAGTGTTTTCTCTAGAGATGTTTTCTGAGAGTTTCTGTATTTTTCTCTATGTTTTCCGTGTCTGAATTCGTCCCAAATGCCTTGTATTTATGAAGATCTTGTTCGGAAACCATTTCTCTAGAAGGCGCCCATTCGGTACATAACCGCTCTTTAGTAACCGTTTCCCATAACTGATCAACCGTTCTCTGTAACTGACTAACTGTTCTCCGTAACCGTCCAACCGTACAACCGTCGGACAGTTACCGGAGCTTAGCTGAGCTACCCGGTAGTTGGTCAAGCTAGCTGAGCTACTCGACAGTTATCCAAGCTTAGATGAGCTAGTCGGCAGTACTTCAAACTTAGTTGAGCTACTCGGCAGCTGGTTTGGCTAGTTAGCGTGTATTATTCTCCTTCTCCGAGCTGATGGGCAGCTCCCGCCTAGACTTGTCCGAGTTTCTCCTCCTTTTCTCGTACCAAGTCTCATACGAAGATCCTATTGAGGATCGCGGGCGTTACAAGTCTTCCACCCTTGAATGGGATTCGTCTCCGAATCCAACTCAAGTTCACTACAAGAAAACATGGATTTAGCGACTACAATAAACGTAACTAAAGAGTCGCTAAACCCATAATAACGACTAATTAGCGACTAATAAACGTTGTCGCCGAACACTGCGTCGCTAAAATTAATGGTAGCCTAATTGTCGCTATTTAGCGACTATTCTGCGACTACTATTTGAAGTCGCCATTTGGTCGCTTCTGAGTCGCTAAATGGGCGACTGTTTTACTACCAATTGCTACCAATAGGCGACTGTTTTGCTACCAATAGGTCACTAATTGGCGACTAATAGGTGACAGAGGAATCGAATTATGTAACCGTGAAAATCGGTTTAGGTTATATTTGTAAATTTCGTGAAAAGATTGTTGTAATTAATAAATATATTTGTATTAATAAACCACCCAAACCGGGAATGGTTAACAGTTACCAAATTGAATCAATTACAAAACCCCGGTTGAACCGGATGCTAAAAACACAAAAAAAAAAAACTCTAATCACGTAACAGTCTTTAGCCGCCGCCTCAGTCTTCAGCCGGATTTCGTTTGCCGACGAGTCCAGTTGCCGGCTGCAACATACCCGGTGGAGGGTAAGAACCGGCACTCCACCCGCGGTACAAGCCTTTTTCTCCGCCACCGTCTCCTCAGAACTCTTCTGTCGCCGGATTACTTTTTCTGTCTCGAACCCTAGTGGTGACTTTTACGGCGTCTCTCGGCGAAGAAGTGGTGTCGCCGTGGCGGTCATGTGCATCTGTCGATGTTCGCCGTCTTCGTTGATACAGATCTGTGATCAAACCTATTTAATTATCAGACTTCCCCAGATCTATCTCCATATTTGAATAAAGATGTGTTGGGAAATCTAGCGATCTAATGAATTCATGGAACATACCTTCTGGAACTCATCGATTAATTGATTAAGGACTTAATCTTCTGGGCTGTGCATCTTTTCTTCAACTTGACGAAGAGAAGAAGGAGACAAAGAGAGAAGAGAAGAAAAAAAAGAAAGGAAAAAAGAATTGATTGGCGTGGAAAGGAAAGACGAGATGAGGAGAAGAGGAAAAAAAAAAAGAAAATAATTAGAGGATTATGTCCATTGGATTAACTCTATCAACGGTTGATGATAAACCAAAGGGAATCCTTGTCATTTAGGATCAGCCAATGAGAGGCTTTCTTCTTTCTTTCTTTTTTTTTGATAAATTTTGGTATTCTACTATAGTTTTTATGTTATAATTTAGATATAGGGGTTTAAGATTTGTAAAGTATTAGATATGATTTATATTTAAAATTATTTAGATTCTTAACTCTGAAATTTTTGATTTTTTGATGTGTTTAATTTCAGTTTTGAATATAAACATAATCTGGGACTTTTAAAAAATGAAATCAAACACTTAAAACAAATTCACAATTTACAGATTTATAAATTCAAAAGATTATATATATATATATATATATAATAGTTATATCATCCGTCTTTTTTTTTCGGTTACATTATTCGTTTAGAGTTATATTGTGATTTATAATTTAAAAAGTGAATCGGAGAGATTTCGAAGAGATTTGACGGTTACATTATTCGATTCCTCAGTCACCTATTTCGAAGAATCGAATAATGTAAAAAGTGAATCGGAGAGAATCAGAGAGATTTCGAGAGATTTGTAGAGATTGAGAGAGAATCGGAGAGACTGAGAGGGATTAGGGGTCGATTTCGAGAGAATTTGAGAAGAAATGGGTCGATCGAATCAGAGAGAAATCAAGGGTTAGGGTTAGGGTTCGTCGAGAGAGAGAGAATTGGGGATCTAGGGTTAAAGAAATGCGGAATTAGGGTTTTCGCGGTAGTAATAGGGAATTTATACTATGAGCCAACGCAGAAAATCTAATCGATCGAGCCCAATAAGAAATTATAGTCGCAATAAAGTGGCTAATTAGTAGCCCAGTTTAGAGACTAAACATTCAGAAGTTACTTAGTCGCCTAATTTGGCGACTATACAATGACTATTTTTATCCGTCGCCAAATGCAGACGGATTAGCGACTAATGTTGTTTAGGCAACATTCAGTCGCCTAAATGTCGCAATTCAGTCCTCAAATTCAGCGACTAATTTATCACTTGCTGAATATCGTCGCTAATCACGTGTTTTCTTGTAGTGGTTGATCTTTACCCATCTCCTTAAACCACTTCGAAAAATCGACCTTCATCTTATTCTCGGTTTCCCAAGTAGTTTCTTCACAGCCACCGCAATTCCATAACACTTTTATCATGTTAATCTTTTTCCTCCGTGTTCCCTTCTCCATTCGGTCAATGATCCAAATTGAATTTGCTTCCATAGTTTAGTTCTCTTTTAACTCCGAAGGAACATCTTCTACACGTTCCTCGTGTTCACTTAGGTATTTCCTTAGTTGTAAAACATGGAAAACCTTGTGGAACACATCTAATTTTGGTGGAAGTTTGAGTTTGTACGCCACAGTCACTACTCGTTCGATCACCTTGTATGGGCCAACGTACCTCGGACTCAACTTTTTCTTTGTTGAGAATCGTCGTTTTCCCTTGTCCGTTACGACCTTAAGATATACCAAGTCACCTACTTGGAATTCCAATTCCTTTCGACGCTTATCCGCATAGCTTTTCTGTCGGTTCTGGGCTTCTTTTAGTTTGATCTTAAGAAACTTCATATTTTCGATAGTTTCATCCATAATCTTCGGACCAAATTAAACAACATGCGTTCTCCCACCGGCGTCCGACATGCCCGGCCGTATAACTCCTCGTAAGGTGACATGTCAATACTAGCTTGATAGCTATTGTTATAAGCAAACTCCACCAACCTTAAGTACCTTTCCCAATTCCCACCCCAATCCAAGACACATGCATGCAACATGTCCTCAAGGGTTTGTATCGTTCGTTCGGATTGCCCATCCGTTTGTGAGTGGTACGCCGTACTTAGGTTCACCCTCGTCCCTAAGGCTTTTTGAAAAGCCTTCTAGAAATGTGATGTGAATCGTGTATTCTGATCCGACACAATGCTTATCGGTACTCCATGTAATCAGACTATCTCGTCGATATACCTTGCAGCTATATCTTCGGCTCCATCCATTTCAGAGATTGCTATGAAGTGTGTGGAATTAGTCAATATATCGACCACCACCTGCTGGGGTCGGGTTTCACCCATCATTTGAAAGCGAGCCAAACTTCAATCAGGGAACCCTTTCGACGCCTCGGGGAACCCTTTCAACGCCTCAGGGAATCCTCTCAGTAACCTCGGAGTATACTCTCTATCGCCTCGGGGTAAATTCTAAATCACCTTGGGGTACCCTTCAACTGCGTCAGCTCGGGGTACACAGTCACCATGTCCCGAGCTGATTTCACCTGTTACCCCGAGGTGAATTCTTCAAGTTCATCCGAGGCAACGTCCGCAGAAGTCACCTGAGGTGGAATGCGCAATGTCACCCAAGTTTAAGTTGTCATTATCACCCGAGGCAAAATCCTTAGAGCCGCCCGAAGAGAAACGCACAAGATTACCCGAGGTGTAGTCTTCGTTAACCCGAGGCAAACACTTGGTGAATATTCACCTCCAAAGAAGAGCGGCATCATTTCCGAAAATGAAGGATCATTTCCGAAATACTCGAAATTGATAAGGATGAATCTTGAAGGATTATTGCGAATCAGGAAATCTTCCAAAAACCTACGAAGAAAAAGGAAAGTATCCTTATCCGCGATACTCTAAGCCGACTTTGAGAAAAATGGAAATCTTCCTAGAATATCGTTGGAGAGGTGGTTTACTATCCCTATATAAAGCGACTCAAGGTCTTCACAAAAGGGACAAGCAAAAAGGGTCTAGAATTCAGACTACAAAAGCTCTGATATTCAAAGGCAAAACAAACAGTTTTCTTTTTACGATCAAGTTCTTTGTACGATCAAAACTATTCTCTTCATCAATAAAATCAAGAACACCATCTTTGGTAACAAGTTTCCGGCTGTTCTTTGAGGATTCTCGTCAATTGTATCCCTAAAAAAAAACCCTAGACAAATTTTGATTGTGCAAGTTTCGACTTCCATACCACCCAAACTGTATTATGCTTAGACTTTATCCCCGTAGGCAGTCCGGTAACAAAGTCCATCTTTACATGGTTCTATTTCTATTCCGGCATGCGTAAGTTTTGTACTAACCCACTCGAAACTTGATGTTCAGTCTTGACAAGTTGGCACTTCGAACACTAGGCAACCCATGCGGCTACATCCTTCTTCATCCTGACCCAATGGTAATACCTTTTTAGGTCTCGGTACATCTTATTGGACCCGGGGTGAATTGAGAATTTTGATTGGTGCCCTTCTTTAAGGATTTCTCCTCTCAATCCCATGTCATTCGGCACACATACTCATCTATTCACCACTATGGTACCATTGTTCGATGTTTGGTACTCCGTTTTATTGTTCTTCACCCAAGTGTTCAACTCCTCGTCCTTCTCTTGGGCCAAGCGAATTCTACAAAGTAGATCGGCTTGATCGGCCACACTGAAACCCAATGGTTCGATATCCTTGTAGAATGCATTTAAATGCAATGTCCCCATCATGTTAACCAAGTCCACTTGGTTTTTCTCCGCTTGTACATCGAAACGTCTCCTACTCAAGCTATCGGCGACTTGATTTGCCTTTCTCGGATGATAGGCAATATCTAAGTCGTAATCTCCACAAATTCCATCCACCTTCTTTGCCTTAGATTTAACTCTGGCTGAGTGAATATGTACTTAAGACTATTGTTGTCGGTGAAGATTTGGACTTTGGCTCCATAAAGATATGATCGCCAAATCTTTAAGGCAAACACCACCGCAGCCATTTCTAAGTCATACGTATGGTAATTTCCCTCGTGTTTAAGCAATTGGCTTGGAGCATAAGAGATTACACTACCCTTTTACATCAATACGCATCCTAGTCCCGTGATCGATGTATCCGTATAGACCATGTAAGGTTTACCTTCTTCCGGTAACACCAACACCGGAGCGCTTGTTAGCATAGTCTTTAACTCGGAGAAACTCTTCTCACATTCCTCCGACCATTGACACTAAGTATCTTTCCTGGTTAGTCGAGTCATCGGTTGGGACTCGCAAAACCCTTCACAAACCTTCGGTAATATCCCGCCAAACCGAGAAAACGCTTAATTTCCGTGGCATTCTTTGGCCGTGGCCAATCCTTAATGGATTTGATTTTCTCCGGATCTACGGACACTCCTTGTTCTGATCCTATGTGTCTAAGAAATCTGATACTCCTATGCAAAAATGAGCATTTGCTTAACTTCGTAAATAACTTTTGTTCCCTTACTCTAGCACCACCCTTAGATGATTTTGATGAGTATCCTAATCCTAAGAATAGACAAGTATGTCATCTACAAAAATGATGACGAACTCGTCTAAGAATTCTCGAAAAATACCATTCATCATCTTCATAAAGGCTGCCGATGCATTGGTTAGTCCGAATGGCATTACCACAAACTCATAGTGGCCATATCTTGTCCGGAATGCCGTCTTCCGAATATCCGATGGTTCTATCCAAATCTGATGATATATATCCCAAGGCCAAGTCTATTTTAGAGAACCACTTCGCGCTTCTAAGTTGATCCAACAACTCGTCTATCCGGGGTAATGGATATTTTTTCTTTAACGTAACTTTATTCAATCCCCGATAGTCAATGCATAGCATAAAGCTACCATCTTTTTTCTTTACAAACAAGACCGGTGCACCCCATGGTGAACTACTTGCTCTAATAAATCTTTTATCCAACAACTCCTCTAATTGTTTCTTTAGCTCTGCCATTTCTGCCGGTGCCATCCGGTACAGAGCTTTAGATATCTGATTTTTTCCCGGTTCGAGTTCAATAGTGAATGGATCGGATCGGTCTGGTGGTAAACCACTCACGGCCTCAAACACATCCGAGAACTCGTTTGCGATCGGAATGTCTTTCAATTCCGTATTTACCCCAACTTCGTGGGTTGTGATTGTGGCTATGAATGCCTCACATCCTTTCTCGAGCATCCTTTTGCTTGGATTGCCGAGATTACT